GTATGGCAAATATTTAATATTCTCAGAGGCTTTTAAATTAAAATGTTATTGTCCATTTAGAAAGTTAGGAAGACAGCATATTACATGCAATAAATCCTTTCTGCAATATTCTGCTCGTGAGTCATTAAAGCCAGATCCAGGCCATTGGTTTTCAAACTTGAAGGCTGATGTTAAAAATACAGATGCCCCTGGAGATTCTGATTCAGTGTGCTTGGAGTGGAGTCCAAGAATCTGTCTCTAATAAGCATGCCAAGTGATTTTCCTCATCAAATCATTTAGGCAAATATTAGTCAACATTTTTATCACAGTGACTTAAGATGTAAGTATATTCACAACTCAGACCTATTGGAAGTATAATTTAAGAATTGTCATTTTTAATAACCCAAATATTCAAACATTTGGAAAATAATTATTTAAAAATTGCATAAAATGCATGCATTGTATGAATCAGGACACAAATTCATTTTCATATGGAGTGCTATTCAGTGTGTTCTAATTTTGAATAATAGACATTTGTCTCTTCCATTGATTCATAATTACATTAAAATTTAAGTGCCTGTTCTTAAGAACTGTAAACGGATTTGCAATCGAGAGATTAACTAGGAAAACAAAACTCTGACAAAGGAAGTAGAAGAGAACAAGAGAAAACAGAAATGAACATGCAAAAATATAACCTGTAAGGGGCTGAAGGGAAAACATGAATGCTGGGAAGGCAATACTGACATCAATACTGGGCTCAGGGGAGCTTTATTTTATGATACAATTGATAGAAGGGTGAAGAAAATAAGACGAAAGGAAAAGATAATAGAAGTATAAAGAATAGAGATAAACAAGAGATTTCCATTTGGAGCCTTTTATTCTGTAATGAATTTTCTGGGTGAAAAGTGTTTATCAGGTGATAGGGTCAGAATTCTTCCCTTATACAAGCTGATAAAACTTAACTCCCAATGCTCATGAATATCTGTAATTCTAAAGAACAAATAAAGTCTTAGGAAGCACTTCCTGAAAAAATTCTTCTAGAACAGTCCCTCTACAAGAACTCCATGGAAAAAAAGTGGTCCATGGTGAAATAAATTTGGAAAGTCTGCACAGAAACTTCTCCTTGAAGTTCCCCACAAACAGTAGGTTAAAGGCTCTGAAGAGTCCTGCAGAGAAGAATTGTTCAAATCACTTTTAAGTCATTATTTTCCCAACTTAATTGACCACAGGATATTTTTTTTTCAATCCATATCTTATTAAACTTCTGTAGTATCAGTAGGAAGAGGGTAGGGCTCAACTTCAGAAAACCGGGGCTTGAATTTTGCTCCAACATGTACCTGCTTCACGACCTGGGTCAGGTTACTTAATAATGCCTTAGCCTCAGTTTTTCCATCTTAAAATGGGTTTAATAATGTTAAGCGCTTAGCACAATGTCTGCATGTAATAATGTTGAATTAAGTACTAGTTATTTGTATTCTACAGAGGCTATTCTGGGAAACATAGGGTCATCTTAAGCTTTCTGTCAAATTATCCATAGGAAGTATACATATTAAATTATGCCATCACTCTTCTTAACATCCAGAAGAAATTTATTTTTTCAAAGTAAACCTGAATGTTTTTCTTTGATTTTCCCTCGAGGCCTCCATCCCCAGCCCTTTTTATTTTCAGTTGGGCAGTTTCAAATCAAACCAAGAAAGGTCAGAAGTCAGTCACATCACATCCAGGCCAGTGATTTGCAGCAGAAAGCTGTCATAAACAACAGAATATAGTATGGCTACAAATGGGTCTTGGAGCAAAGATAAGCATTATCTTAGTCTGTTCAGGCTGCCATAACGAAAACAGCATAGAGTGGGAGCTTAGCCAACAAACATGTATTTCTCACAGTTCTGGAGCCTGGGTGGATGAAGTCAAGGTGCCAGCCGCTTCGATGTCTAGTGAGAACCTACTTTGGGGTTCGCAGATGGCCATCTTCTTGCTGAGTCCTGACGTAGCAGAAGGGCTGCGGGAGCTCACTGGGGTCTCTTTTATAAGGATGCTAATCACATGCATGGGTGGGCGCTCCACCCTCATGACCTGATCACCTCCCAAAGGCCCCATCTCCGAATACCATCACATGGGGGTTTAGGTTCCACTATGTGACTTTTGGAGGGACACAACTATCAAGTCCATAGTGACCATTTCTAAGGTGAAGCTGCCTTTGGGAAGACAGAACTCTACTAGCTAGTAAAACCATGCTGGTGCCAAGCACAACAGTGGAACAGGTAAAACCTGGTTTTCATGCCTTTGACCATCCCATTCAAAGGGGGATATCCTGCCAACCCTAATCACACATTAAGGGCCCTAATAGTCCCCATCTCCCTCTCGAACCAAATGACTTTCTGGAAAGACTCCAAAACCTCCTTCGTACCACGAGATTACTGCTCCAAATTATCTGCATTTGCTTTCTAACATCCTTCCAAGTCTCAAGTCTGAGTAAAACACTATATGTGAAATGTCAAGAATTTGCTAATGAAGTGTGGAAGGGGAGACCTTCCAGGGAGGGAAATTGCTTCTGTGGAAAGTGGAGTCTCCAAACTTGATGATGTGTCTTCTCTTGTTTTAATTAATGCCTCCCTTCTAAGGTTGAGTACGAAGTCCTTTATGGCTTACTCGCCGTTCCCAGCACATTGTCATTATTAGGCCACACTTGTTTCTTCTTAGATCATTCTCATCACAAGTTACATTAAGCTGGGAAACTTCCCTGAATGAGTTATCACTAAGTCTAGGTTTCCAGATGACAGTACCACAGAAGACACTGATTCACCCCACCATCAACATCATGGATTTAAGATACAAGAGATTCCTTACCTATAACCAGTCAGTGCGGCATCTTTCAGAGATCACAGACTCACCCCGTAAGTACACACTGCCCAGGACTGCTGAATGCATTCTCCTCACCTTTGTGTCCCAGGGCCTGATGCAATGCCTAGAGCATCATTCAACAAGCATCGACAGACAAATGCTTCTTAAATGAATCAAAGATGAATGAACAAATAACTACTTCTATTCTCATTTCAACTTTGTGACCCCCAGAGCCAGGCCAATTCCGAAGTCTGTTTTTCTGAAGACACAGCCCTGAAATTTGTTCCCTGTTCAAGAAGTAAGTAGAAGGGGAATATAATGCCCTGTCCGCAGCATCCCAACACCAGAAATCAATTGCAGAAGTGTCCAATGCATCAAACGGCATTCTGACAATTGTCTAATTACTAACGACCTTTTCTAAAATACATTTCACATCATATTTCAAGATAGTTTTGGTTGTATCACTTAAATTATGACTTAAACTGTATTGAAATAAAGCTATAACATATCATTTGTCATATTTTTTGTTGCTCACCCACTAGCAAAGAGAGTTAGCTGCCTGGTTTTGATATACTAATTGCCAATAATACTATGGAAAGTATGATGTTCATGCTGGCACCCAGGGGGCAATTTTTAGTTGTGAAATTCTCCCATCATATTCCATTTAAAATAAGAGAATTAGTTCATGCTTCATTTTCAAGGCCCCTATTCGCTCACTGCCTTAAGACCAAGAAGCTTCACCACTTTGGTATTTAAATGGCATATACTGAATGTCATTTACCCATATGGTTTCTGGGCTCACATTTCAATGACCTAATGCAATTTGTAATACTGGTTTCTTAAAATCTCCATAACACATTATTCATAATTATAGGGATATTATTCAATGGCATGCTACTGAGAAGTCTTCCACTGAACCCAAACTTTATAGAACTCCTGGCAGCAGTCTGCCTCGTGAAGGATTTGCAGGGTGCCTGAAAGTGAAGTTTAATGGCCTACAACTCTCCCTGTTACTTAGGAACACAGTAGGTGGGGCACACAGCTGTCATGGGACATATTAGAATGAATCTAGACTCAATTCTAAAAAAAAGAAAAAGAAATAAAAACTGTATAGCACAGGAAACTATATTCAATATCTTATAGTCACCTATAATGAAAAAGAATATGAAAACGAATATATGTATGTGTATGTACGAAACATTATGCTATACACCAGAAACTGACACATTGTAAACTGACTATACTTCAATTAAAAAAAAAGAAAGAAAGAGAAAAAAACAAACAAAAAAAGAATGAATTAGAGCTCCTCTCCCCACACTCATTTTATTGTCAATAATGATCCTAGGATCCCAGTTTCAGTAGATACTCGTTAAAAGACTGAGCGGTGCACCTGGGGATGGCATCACTGAGTAACATGCGCTTGTGGAGTTCACCACACTTCTCCCACTGTCACGCACAACTTTCTTACGTATAGGTATTGACCCTCAAAATTAATTCAATTGTGTGGCATTCTCTCTTTTAAATTTGCAGTATTGACTTTTTTTTTCTTTCTTCCTTCCAATACACTATGACAGGAAAAACACGAAGGAATGAAACTGGACAGGACATTAAGCTCCAGAAGAACAAGGACCTTGTCCATCACTGTGTCCCTAGCAGTACGTACTGTATCCAGCACACAGCAGGTACTCATTGAACTCATGAGTGTACAAATGAATGAATGAACGAGTGAGTGAATAAACAAATCAATAAGCAGAAGAATGAATTCTATAGGCCACAGAGAAACAAAAGACAACTGGGTAGAATGTTATTCTGAAATAAAAAGCCTCGGAAGAAGACTACACGATGTACTGGATGAACAGGTTCCTTACTTATTGCACTGAAGACACCTGGATTCCTTGCGGGGAGCATCGGAAATAATGTACATGAAAACAGTATTGAACTCCTCAGAGAGAGTGTCTTGAATGTGATGACTATGAATTGTGAATAAAGTAAGTTGAAGCTGATAATTAAGCTTCAGCATGGAATCCCAGCATCACGGCATCAAACCCCAGAGCAGAGGTGGCATTGATATTTATTGAAGGAATTTGTGGCCCTGATTCAGGCTTCACAGAACGGAGGTGGGTGAAGGGAATCTGCAAGGAAAGCATTTCCTTGCGAAGAACATACAAGTAACAGAAGCACACTTTTTCTTGATTTTATTATTGGATGTTAAACCGATAGGACAAAAACTGACATTTACCAGGTTACAAAGAAAGAGTTTATCATTTTTCAAAGTCACCAAGGTTAAGATGCATGCCCCAGTGAAATGAGTATAGGTCAGCCTCCTTTGGTTTTGCAGATTTTTCTGGACTGCCATGCCCTGTGTGGTTACAGTTCAAGTCAGAGACTTGAGAAATGGCAAGGGGACGGAGCAAACAAACCAAGTACAGTGTGACTTTTCTCCCAGTCAGGGTGCGTTCCCACATTTGACTTCCCCCAGAAAAAGTCTGATATGTAGGCATTCTCATTATTTAGTGAGACTTTAGAAAAGACATTTTAACATATAACACAAAATAATTGTTTGGGGTTTTTTTGTTTGTTTACATTGGAGGTCCTGGGGTTTGAACCCAGGACTTCATGCATGCAAAGCATGTACTTTACCACTGAGCTGTACCCACACCTGCCATATGGTTTTAATATACAGGAAAATTTCCAGGAATGCACTTACTATGTTGATCAAGGCACAAATGTAAGTTTTTGTTCAAAACTTTACCAAGGGTTATTCACCATTTCAGAAATCATATCCCATGACAACAATGTTTGTGATGTTGCCAGTACATTGCACACTGATCTGCATTTGTAGCTGGTAATTCTACATCCAAGCATCTGATGACTTAATTTTATCTTCTAGGATAGTTATAGCCAAGCTTTTTTGTTGAAAATACATTCTATTTTATTAAAAACTGCCTTCCCTTTTTTCTGCTTTATATTACAATTTGAGTACCATATTCATTGTTTAAAGGAATATATGCCAATAGATCATATTAACTTTGAATTTCATTTCAGAATAGCCAAAATAAAATATTTGTTATAAAGGAGGGCACTGAGTCTGGGAGGGTTGAGAGAACTACTGATCTCAGCCACCCTCCTCACTCTGCAATGAAACTGAGTGAGACTCAGAGAGGTGAAGCAATTCGCTAAGGCCACACAGCAAGCTGATGACCAAGTTGGCACTGGAGCTGCCTGGGCACTGAGTTCTCCTTCCAGCACGCTGCTGCCCTGCCTCAAAGTGATGACTACATAGGCGCAGAGGGAGAACAATTTGGAATGAGTTGGTGACCATTAGACCTGGGGCAGAGACTGGGGAGGTCTCTCCCTGGTGTCTATGTCCCAGCACGAGAGACAAGATGCTTCAGAGAAGGGGTTTTTTGGGGGGTGGACGGGTTGGTTGTTTGTTTTGCTGTTTGTTTTCTCCTACCAAGTCCCAGGTGCTGGTTCTCACACTGAGCTTACACAAACTGAGCTGTAAAAGGCACACAGCAAAAGCTGTCACTTGTGAAGCTGGGGTTTAAAGCCGGTATTAAAGTGGGGGAAAAAAAGTAGAAAGAGCATTATTTATCCTGAGAAAGCAACATTCCATTATAATCTTGAACTTGAACGTTTTCAACAGTACTTCACAGTGAAGAAATCAAGGTTAGACACTCAATTTAAAATCCATGAATGGTGACCCTAGCTTTTAACCTCGAGTTTAAGCATTTTTGTTTTCAGTCAGACAGAGTTCTTAGGAGGAGGTCTGAGTTTGTAAACAGCTAGGTGGAACAGGTAAAGGATGTGGCCCAGGTAGCTTTTATATTTAACACGTACATTAAAAAACTGTCTGAAACATTCCCAGGAGACAAGCACAAGGTAATTAACATTATGTCAAAGCCGGCTTCTATCCAAATCACTGCTCTGCATTTAAGAAGCAAGAGAATTCTCTCAAGGAAGTAGCCTCAACCAACAGTGCTCAACTAAACCAACTGGGCACTTCAAAGTAGGAAAACAGAAGCCAGCCAATAGTCTCAAAGCATCATCACCTACATTTAGCCTGAAGTCGCTGTGAGTTCCCCAACCTGAGACTGGAGCTGTCTTCTGAACCCTAAAAGAAAGTTTAAACATCCAAGATTGTTTTCAAGTTAAAGCTAGTACCAGGAATCATAATATTTATGATCAGTTTGTAAGCTGAAATGACTCCTTGGGTCTTCTGGACTCAGCACGGTAAAGACTTTCCACTTTAGTTCGTGCGGCTGCCATCAAAGAGCCTCGTAGTTCAGGCTGACTCCTGAGCCCGTGGGATGGGCTTTGCTTCGAATGAATATGATCCTAAACACCTATGCAATCGTTTTTTATCAAATTAATGGAATCTGTATCTATAAAATAAAATGCAGTATATCTGAAATTACAGATGTGCTAAGCCAAAACATTTAACTGTCTGTGCAAAGTGATACACAGCATTGCCCTTTCACATTATCTTAAGTGAGGTCTGAGGCAGACAGCGGGCGGTGGGGCACTGGGGCAGTTGGCGGCTGCAGGTGTTCTGTGGCGGAGGAGCATGGCTGGTGGTTTTAAAACCCTGGGAAGAAAAATGAACAGTCCATGATTATGGTCGATTTCTTAGAATTTCTTTCGGGAAGACCTACATGAAAGGTGGCTGGGTAATCTAATTTCACGTCAATAAAATCTCTCAGTGAGAGGCTCCTCCTGTGTCACCCGTGGGATCTGCTGTGGTCTTATCCAAAAGAAGACCCAGAAATGAAAGGTGTGAGATGTTCCCCAGGGAGCAAAACATTCATTTTGCTGCAGGCTGCTGAGTCCTAAGAAGAGCATTAAAAAGCAGAAAACTTGTCCCATCTAAACCATCCCACTTACTTGGTAATCCACATCTTATTGGAGAAGGACTCCGGCTTCGAGATATCTAGAAAATATAAAAGTGTAGTGTGAATCACACGGTAGGTGGGGCTCAAAGAATGAATCCTATTGATGGTTTTTCCTAAAACCAATTAGAATGTTGCTCTGAAGCAATGTAGAACTATGACTTTTTTCCCCGAGGCTGAGCACTGTGATTCCTTTTACACTTTCTGAAGTAAATGAGTACCCAATTTAATTTATATTATGAACTAAAAACTGGGCTCAGTGGCTGAGTTTTTTGTTGTTTGTTGTTGTTGTTGTTTCAGTGTTGCTAAACACTTTGAGATTGGATGTTCACTGGCCATTCTGAATTCTATGCTTTCCAGAAAATATTAATTATTATTACAATAATTAATAATTAAAGCTAAAGTGATCAAATACTTTCTGGCACATCCTTTATAAGAATTATCTCAGTCCAAAATGCTGCCTTATTAAGAAGGGTCACTGGGCAGCCAGAAAACAACCATTACTCAAACCTCACCTTTGCTCTCACTGAGCAAAAGCCACCCCCTGTACCTGCAAACCTGTTACGACTCAGAAATAACTGGTTACAAGCATCATTCTTGCTCTGAGCTTTCAAACACTTTAGATAAATAGACGCTAACAAAGATGGAAGCTGCCCTGGATGTGAGACTCCAAACAAGTCAAAAAACTAGACTAACCAAAAATATTTGCACCAGTCTTGTCATAAGGAGATGATAGTGGAAAGGGACAGAATTTTAGGAGCACTTTCACCTTTGAGAATCTATTTTATTTTTACCAAAAGTTTAAAATTTGTTCTCCCTGGGCACAAAGTGGAGAAGGCAGAGGAGGTGGTTCAAACATGTCTAGGAGCTTATTACAGAAGGATGCTCCCCAAGATAAGCCTTCCAGGGAGAGTCTAGAGTGGAAATTTGCCGTGGCCATGAGCACCGCAGGTGTCTAATAATTGTGCGTTCTTCTCATGTAACACTCCCTCTTGGAATAAGAACTGTGAATCTCCCAGTATAAGACTCCTAAGATGTCCTGTTTATCAGTCCATGAAATGTACTATCCTTTTGCTTGTACCTACTGTGAATACTTATTCGAAAATAAGGATAATGAAGTTATATTAAAATCTCCAATGGTGAAAGAACTGTGTCAGACACATGACTTTCCATTCTCAGGCCATTTCTTTCATCTGGAGAGTCCTCCCCAATTTCCCAGGCCATCACAATTCTGCCAGATCAGATTCCAACTCCCCCATGAACCAAATCCAGAAGGAATCTCTATCTCCGCTGACAACTCTAGCCCTTTGTGCCTTTTTTATGGACTGTATCATATACCACGTTCAGTTACTTTGCTGAAATCATACTGATCTTCCTATACTGAAATCCATTCAAGGAAGAGACCAGGTTTTAGTCATTTCTGTGTCACCCCTCCCCCAATCTAGCATCCATCAGATACAGAATGAGAGTTTGATAAGGACATCATCAAACATAATGAAGTGGGCAGAGTAACGATAAATGTTCACTAAATTCAGTAAGAAAGTGGGGTCTTGTTAGCTTCCGGTAAGAGGAGGGGTGTGATTTTGTTTTTGTTTTTGTTTTGTTTTTGTTTTTGTTTTGCTGAGGTAGGGGGTGAAAGTTTTGGGTTAGAGTTGCATTCCTAAGGATAATTTCAGAGACGTGGAGACTTGCCAGATCTAATTCTCCTTCTCCACCACTCTCCCTAAAACAAGGCTGAACAAATATTTAAAGAAGTTTTATTTGAACAAACAGCACACTGTTAGGCTATCCAGTATCCACTTGTCTTGGTCCAGACCTACATTCAAAAGCCATTGACTAACTACCCGCTGAGTGGATGAACGGTGGTGCCTCACAATAACATTAGTTTGGGGGGATGTTATCTTTCTAGTTTTCAGAGATGTTTTTGCCGCTATTTTTTTCTTTGACAGATGTATTAGTAATGCTAAGAACGAACAGGCAAAGAGGCTGATCTTATTCTTCTTAGTTTGAAGCTTGGAGGAAGATTAATACCTGCAATGCCCTTTATATAGTATTGAAATCCAGACAGTTTGAGCAATTTCTCCAAACTCATGCAATGAGTTCTGCAGGAACCAGGGACTGATGTGTGCAGAGATCAGCAAACTAAGATGTCCCATTCTCTGTTCAGGATACTAACTGGTATCTAGCTCATTTTCATTTAAAGATACAAACAGATGTGAAATGACTGAAGTCTCCTATTCTTTCAACTAATTAAGCAAAAAACTACCTCTACTTCGTTCTTTCTAGAATGAGAAATGCCTTAGCCTGAGATAGTATAAAAATCAATCCGGGGCTATTGCAGCAGGTCCTCTTTCTACTCACAGACTTATATTCGCCTCTTTTACAGGCGACTGTTGACGAAAAAAAATGTCAACCATAGGATGGTTTTGTGTACAAGTGATTGGACAGATACGTACCGTGCTTAAACCAATACGGCTACGGGGGCAGATGGGACTTAAACTCCTGCTTCGACATCGACTTACAGATCGCACTGAATTCCACTAAAGAAAAGAGAAAAAGAAAAATAGTTTGTGAAAGCTCAGGTGGTTTAAAACAATACTCAAATCCCATAGAACGAACGAGAGGTACTCAGGCATAATTACACCTGGCTGTTACTGAACATCAGCATGTGGCACACTCATTTACCTGCCCAATATTTGGCAATAACTCTATGGTGTTTCTCAAATAAAACCCATTCCAGTGAACTTTGGGCTATTCATATTCTTTCTGCTAGTGGAACTCTATTTCGATGAGTAAGCGATTAGAAATTGCATTTAAGTTTGCAAGTGTTGGAGACTGTAAGCCCCACGTGGGGAGGAATTTGTGTCTGTTTTGTTCATTGCTGAATCCCCAGCACCTAATCACAGTGCCTGGGTCATAAGTAACTATTGAATAAATACGTATCGTTGAATGAAATGAATGAATGAGTGAGGGAGTGAACCATGACTGTCACCCATCTACTCTCTAACTAAACTAATAAACAAAGAGAAAACTCTATTTCCTCAAGTGAGATTTTACTAATCAAGGTCCGCTTCTCAGTTCCCTTCCTCCAACCCTTTCTTCTTCCCAGGTCTTGCTTTTAGGGTATTTTCATTCTGTTTTAGGCGTTTAAGCTTGGGCAAATGTTGGTGATATACTTGAGGGGAGAGAAGAAGGAAGTTAAAAGGAAATTGCTATTTGATGTAGAACGGACGAATTGTGGCTATGTCCTCTCCCCCTCCTTCCAAAGTGCACTGCAGACAGTCTACAATGAAAGTTTCTTAATAGATAGTGATTGTTGTAGAGGTGAGAAGAACATTTTATGAGCCCATTCATTGCAGAGTGATTGTCAGATCAACACAACCCAGTTTCTACGGGCTTAAATTTCACAGCACAGAATAATTTATTGAGATACTATTTGCTACAGTGGGATGTTTAAGCTACAAAAACCCTTTTCTTAAGTTCTTTTAAAATACACTAATGACTCTGTTTCTTCACTCTACGTGTGAAAATCTCCCATGAAGCACTTCCCCTATTCTCCAGTTCAGAGAGCAGGAACTGAGACCACCCGGACAGTGGCTTTGCTCTGATCCCGGAGAGTTTCTCCAGGACTCACTAAACTCTCTCTAGGAAGGGTGGGGTAAAACACCATAATGGGAACCGTACAGAATATCCAGCACCCACAACCACTAGTTCCAACACCCAGTCCCCAGCTCAACACACACAGACACACACACACACTTGCATACCTAAGGCTCCACTCAGAAGGCTGTCCAATTATTTGGCATATTCAAAACATTCTACAGCCAATATATAGAGGAAGTAACCTTCAAAAACTGACTGACTCCTCTCTCCCTACCTTCTCTGCCCTCTTTTTCTCCATCCCTCCCCTCCCTACACTTCATACTAAGGAGAGAAAAACAGGGCACATTCATCATATCCCAAAATGGAGAACCATCAGTAAAAATTTGGCTCTTTCCTGAAAGTTAATTGCTTACTTTTAAATGCTTAGACTTATAGAAGGCCTCCAATAAGGTGAGCTCAAAGGGCTTTGCCCTTATAATAGCATAATATTTCCAAGATGAAGGAGGCAAATATGACTAGCTCTATCTTATAAATGAAGCAACAAAGAAATGACTGCCAGGAAATTAGGAAGACTCATGGAGAATGGAAGAAAAGAATCTATTCCTTCCCAGCCAGTCCCTTTCCTCTCCTTTGTATGAAATCTTATCAAACAGCTCTCTATGAGCTTCTTTTATGGAATCTCAGGGTTTATAAATGTTCTCGAACTTGTGAATCAAACACTTGGGATGAATTGTCACTATGCAAGGCCACCGTACAAAAGCCCCTCTCCTGGTGACAGCTTCTCCCTTCATAATGACACAGTCATTCTCCATGAGAGCAGGCCACACGTGGTAGAAGACCAAGGGAGCCGTGAAATCAGAGTCGTAGCTGCGGCGGTACCTATGTTAAACACATAGAAGAGCAAGAAAGAGAAGTTAAGCAGTTGTGTGACCTACCTGGCAGAAGAGGGGACATCCATGTAAATGTTCATCTTGTATTATGCTCAGATCTAGATCAATACGCATCCTGACTCTGTTATTAGGGAGATGGTTGTGGGCACCTGGAATAGGTGATAACGAGGACCCGACATGGACTTCCTAACAAGTCATGTGAGACTAACCTTGTCCCCTCTCTTCTCAGGATTACAAGAGTTGTAATTCAGGGAAATGCTAGAGACAGAGACCATCTGAAGTCTCATTGGAGACCTTCAAGATTTCTTGTGCTATCTTTGTGGAAAAAATAAGAGGAATGGGGGTGGGTGATTAATTTAAGTGGGTGGATTAGAAATGGTTCAATGATCATATCCAAAGTGGGCAGTTAATGAGTGGATGAGAATGAAGGTGCAGAAGGCTCTCTCTCATTCCTGGGGTAACTCAACATGTTCATCAGTGACTTCCACAAAATACAGAAAAAATGCTCAAAGGTAGGAAATGGGTAGGAAAACAAAACCAGAATACAGTATCAAAACATAGCTCAAGAGGCTGGAACTATAACAAGCTAAATCTAATAAGATATACTGTAAGGTAGACACACATGAGGTCCTGCAATTGAGTCTAAAAAGCATTTAACTGCACAGATAGAGGTGATCATTGGTTTAATCACAGCACAAGTATAAAGAACAACTTTTAGGTGAGCTCAAAATCAGTCAACAGTTTTACCTGGCTAGAAAAATAGAAAAGCTACTACAAATTAGCTGAATTAATAGAGAATAAAAATAGAAAGGGTGTTGGTCCCTCTGGGCTGGTTAGTTCAAACTAGGGGACTAACGTTCAGCGTAGACACTTTTTTTTAAAGGAGTATCCAGACAAACACAGAGCACAGGCCAAGGAAATCAATCAATTTGTTAAGAAGTCTCAAACCCCCCTTAATATGGAGCCAGAAGGAGGAGGATTTGAGTCACTGTTTTCAAATGTGTGAAAGGCTGCTTAAAAAAAAAAAAAGAGGATTAGACATGATCTGTAAAATTCTCAAGTAGAAACAAATAAATGCAAACATTATTCGGAATACCAGTTTGAGCTCACAGCCATCCAGGAGGACAGGCCACAGTGCCCCAGGGGTGGCATGTTCCCTCTGATAAAAGGCATGTAAACAGGAGGCCTGCCAGAA